AATGGCATACCAAAGCTAACCGCAATGACGTTTTATGATGTCATAGTTTACATAAGCACATGTGGTCGAGCGCCCAAACTGATAATTCTTCTTTTAAAAAGGTAACAGAGCAAGACCTTCTGATAATAATGGCCTTTATAAAGACTAGTTGACTCCAGTAGCTATTGTACTGCTTATCAGGAAGAACAAGACTGTTTTAAGAGTGAAACAACACAGCCGAAATATCGGCCATGTCTAGGGATGAGCCTATTATTCCAGCATAATTTTAGGAATAATAGGGGCTTCCTCATATGAGGAATAATGCTGGAATAATTGGGTGGAAATAGGAATAATAGTGGAATGATGGGTGGATTTGAGGTCAATGGTGATTGCAGAAGAAAATTTAAAAATTTTTGGCTAGTGTTTTTTGGAAGACCTATTTGTAAAACACTGCTGGAATGCAATTCTTATGTGAAAATTGATTGTTTGAGAAAATTATTGAGAATAAATTGAGAATAATAGGATAAAATGAAAAGAATAATGGGGGAAAATATTAAGAATTTCCAGAAAGAATAATGAGAAAATTTATGAGCATAATAGGCTCAACCCTAGCCATGTCTCTATGAAATCATTATAATACATCATTAGTGACGTAACTACATTTTTCAAATTCCAATGCAGCTGCTTCCACTTCCGGTCCATTCTCAGTTGGGACATAGTATAGTATACTATGATGAGCATTTTTCGATCTGGGGGATTACTACTAAACTAGTAAGTGTTGATAGTAATTTAAAAAGCTAGCCTATAATATAAGATCCCTGTAGTTTTCAATCATGATGGCTGGCGGTTCAGCTGAAGTACAGAAACCACAGCAGGCACAGTTCAAACAAGATATCTCTCATGCAGCTGTCTCGGGTAGCCAGATCCACCCTCCCAAGGCTTGGTGCTATGTTTCAAGAACCAAGGAAGAAACAAAAGTGTTGGCTAGTTCAGTTAAAAAGAAGTCTTTAAAAGATTATATGTGGAGTTTAGTTAATGGAAGCCTAACATTATTGTCCATTGTAAGTTGTGAGTTATTCATGAATCAATGGTAGCTATACTACAGGCTACAATAGTAAAACTTTATTCAACCCAAATGTTACCATTGTTTTGAAATAGCTAGAGGCTAAAAGTTGTAGTGTTTCTGTATTCAATGCATGTTGATGCTAACTAGCATCATTTTCAGTCTGCCTAGTATGAATTCAGTATAGATTATCAAATTATACTATTTTAAAGGAAAGTGACCTCCCAGACTGTCAAAACAATTTAATTTAGCTAGATCTATGTACACAAACACTCCTTAATGCCCCCATGTGAAATATGCAATCATTAACTTGGTAATGTGTACATGAATGTGCATATATAAGTTCTCTTCTTTTCAAAAACACACAACTTAATTAATCTGTTTATAAGGCCACTCCAATAAGATTCATAGTTTCCCATTACAGAGGCGGGCCTGATGCGGGCGGGCGGGTTTGTTCATTTTCATTAAATTTATTCATTATCAGCTGTATAAATTGCTTGTATAATCAATGAAAAACCGCAATAATGAATAGCGATGCGGCCCCATGCGGGCGGGTAATGGGAAACAAGGAATCAAATTGGAGTGGCCTAACCAGCAATTAATAATCACAGTATAATAATGCATACTGACAATAATAATAATAGTACATAGTAATCATAATTTTACAATACATAAGGGTAATGATAATAACAACAATAATAATACATACTAATAATCATACTCGTTACATTTGCCAAAAGCTATGCACATGGCCACAAATTCAACAGATTAAAAACTGTTGAATTTTGATAATATTGTATAAAGCTGTAGCTAGCTATACCCAGAAATAATACTACCTTATAGTGGAAATTTTGGAGGGTGTAAAATTTGAC